ATGGCCTGAGTGCCTCTCAAGAACCAGCAGGACTTCACCATTTGCAGCCTGAAAACATCGAAGGGGAAAGACTGCTTTGAGAAAAGAGCCTCATAATACAATGTTCCAGAATGGCCATGCCATAGGGAATTTATTCCTCAGGATTGGCTTCATAGCCTTCAGCAATCCAGGCATTGATCCTTATAGCAAAGAGAGAATGGAAATTGATAATGTTCTACCAGGATGCAGAACATACTGTCTTCCACACGGTGCTGGTTCTATGAGCATACAGAATATAAGACTTACAGCATCAGGAAGGCTTCTGTGCAGATGTCAAATGAAGGGCTGTGATCGCTGGAAGTGTACCCCAGATGGCATGGTGTGTGAAGAAGTGAGTGTAAAGCCTAAGATGTAGAGGAACCCCCACAAATTTGGAGACACTAGAAGCAGAGATCATTTGAAGAGAGCCTCAAAAGTGACTAAATCCAACCCAGGTGAGAAGCCATGAAAGTTAAAACATGGCTAGTTTTCTAGGGGCACAGCTACCCAAGCATTTTGGAGTTCACATCTTACCTGGGATTTCCTATAGTTCTGGCCATGAAACGATATGGTTGAATGCCTGCTCTGCAGGATTTTGGTCTTGCTTTGATCTCATTCTTTTCTATACCTCTATTTATACCTACTGGAAGAACAAGGTTCATTTTTGGCTTTTGTAGTATGAAAAGAAGTGCGTAACTTTTTTTTCATATGTATGTGGACTAGCAGCAAAGAGTTTGCCTTAAATCTCAGAGGACACTTTGCACATGGATCTTTCACCAACTGTTGGCAACTTTAAAGATATAATAATACAGTTTGCCTTAAGGAAGGTACCTGAATTCCTTGTGGGCCTGGGGTGGCATGTTATGATTGGTATTTTGTTGTCCCCCAAAGAAGTATGTACTTCTTGTGGGTTTTTCATAAGTGCCTGTATCTAAGATGTTTGATGTTTTGATAACTGGATTAGTTCACAGACTGAATTAGCACATAATGGTGGATGTGGTTAAATGGATTTACTGAGAACAAAACTCCAAACTGGTTGTAGTGCCATCAACAAAATGGCTTCTGTCCTGTGTGGAATATAAAGGGAAGAGAAAATGTTGGCTCACTGCTTTTTGCCTGGCATGTGATGGGCTTTCTCCCCACTGGCATGGCCCTTTCCATTCCTACCTTGCTTCGTAACCACCCAGCTATGAACAGAAGCACTTCAAACTGAGGGAAAATTAGCCTTTCCTCTTTTAACTTGGGGGAGTTGGGTGTTTTGTCCAACAATGGAAAAATACCTGAGACAATCCCCTGCATCATGTACACTATACTCTTACGTTTAAGAAGTTCTTTTGCTCTAGTATAGAGGATGTGCTCAAATCTATGCACTCTAGCAAAACTCCTGAAGAGGGAATAGTACCTTTAGCTCTGCTAGAAACAAAGAAGAATGATAATACCAGAGTATGGCAAAGAGGAGAGAATTGGCAGTAACTTGAATGAACAATATGACAGTAAATGTGCACGCAGCTGCAACTATTGGACATAAGTAAAGACAAGCATACAAGGCTGCTGGGTGAGCAAGTAAAGCCCTGTGAAGTGCATGGCCATAGTGGATGCAGCCAGTGCAGCTAAGGTGGGGATGTTTCTAGCAAGAGCTGATCCTAAAGCACGTGAAGAGGAAAATCTCACACATGGCCAAATCATTAATGATATTTCAATGTGATTGCATGTAAAGGACAAGGATATTTGCCTGTGGTGTAGTAATTTTCTTCCCATTTCTGGTGTTCTGTGTGTAGAATAGCCAGGTTTTCTGTTCTTTTTTTGATCTTCATAGACTCAATATGAGGAGTAGAAAAGGGAGAAGGGAGGAGAGGGGGAAAGGGGAAAAAAGAAGCAGCAAAGTATATTATGCAGAGGAACTAATTCCCTATATGTGATCCTTATGTATATAAAAAGAGTACCAATAAAATTAATTTTTAAAAAGAAAAATATATAAATACTGAGAAGGAACATGATAATTTACTAAAAAGATCTACTGAGAACACTGGAACCATGAGAGTATCACCTTTGCAAATGCTTGGGGAAACTGCCTTGGGTCTGCAGCAGGTGTAGGATGCTGAATAACATAGAAGCACAACTTCTTCATGGGTACATTGCTAAGCATCAAATCAAAGAAAGTCCCAGTTCATTGTTGAAATAGTTTTTGCAAAGATTTCTGTGTTCTCTATGAGTGGTATATTATTTGTCACTTATCCAAAATTAGTGGAAATAAAATGAAACTTCAGTATTCCAGATACAAAGAAAACAGACAACAAATTACTTTGGGATATGGAGGGTACATTGAGTTTTAAAAATCTTATGCGGTCTGCCTGTGAATCCATTTTAAATCACTGAGTGACAAAACATACAGGAGAAAGTGCTAAACAATAACCACAACAAAAATTAAGCAACGTACCAGTGTCCTAAACAACTCAGTCCAAACATTCTACTTCTACCTGGTGAGTGAGGTCATCAGTATTCATTGTCTAATTTAATTCCTGCAGCTCTAAGGGACACGTGAAGGGGACTCATGGGTATGCTTAGGTGGTCCATAGATTTGTGGCTTCATGTCCCTACCTGGCCCCTGGTCTCTGGCTTTGGCTCTGTCTGTCCTGCTTCTTGCTGCCATCAGGGGAACAGCTTTGCCCCTGCCTGACATTGCATTATGTATTTCCTGCCTATGATCCTACAGAGAATCAAGTCAACATTCTAAAACCAAGACTCAAACAAAACTGCTCTGCTGTACCTTGTAAACTGCAGGAATTCAGCTCAGTAAGTGGCCATGTGTCTGACACCAGAGTTATCTCTACAGTTTCATGCAAAGTTAAATCATTAAATTTCTCTCATAAATAATGCATGCATCATAGTCCTTTTTATCACTGTTGTTTGTTTGATGTACAGACACATGCCTAAAATAGAGAAAGCTAAAAACACTTTCAGTGTACTATATTCAAATCCCTCAGAATTTCCTATTTTCACTTCATGTGAATGTCCTTCAACAGTCACATCAAAGCCTCCAAAATATTTTGATTTTCTGTTTGAAAAATTATGTCTATGTTTTAACATGCAATAAGTGAAAGGCACCCTTTAGTGAGATTAAATGCCCTCATCCTTCTTTGAGAATCAGGAATTACAAGAAGGTAAGAACAGTGAATTGAGCAGTTGGGGCAGCCTTGAATTAATTGTGTGCTGGAAACAAATGCAGAATTTTCTCATTGAAAATTTCCACAAAAGCTGATTTTAGTGTCAGTTGCTTGGCTGAGCATAAATCTTAAATTTCAAACACATTCTTCCATGATAAATAGGTGATTCTAAACTGAGACATGTTGCAGACAGGTAGATTTAACGTTCACTGTTCATCCAAGATTGTTTCAACTTTCTGGGTCAGGGATGATGGAGATGATCTTAAAATCTAATTATTGGTTTTAGAAGTTCTCAGTCTGAATATCCAATTTATTTCAGAGTAATTTTCTTTATTTCCTCAAACATAGAGATTAGAAATAATTATATTTTCACAGACTACAACACATACTTAACAGTGAAGGAGAAAATACTTTGTAGATTTCCATCAGGCATTTTGGTACTTGAAAACTGCACAGGAAGCTTCCTCCTCCTAGGACAGAGCTAGTATTGTTTGCTAAATATGCTCAAAATTATTGTTGAAATTACAGGATGGTACTGTGTTTCTGAATATTTTCACCAGAGTCTCCAATTTCAACTGTTTAATGAAATGACTTGAAACACATATCCATGTATTTTGGAATGAAATTTCTCCTTAGGTGTGAAAGGGAAAGACCCCAGGTTTTCCAAAGGAGAAAGGGAAGTGAGAGACTGAATGATTTCCACAAATGCCTCCACATTAGCCTTCACTTCCAGGAGCTCAGTTCACAGCTCTCAGACATGCTGACAAATGAGAGGCAGGAGTGGCTTTGTCATAAAACAGTGTGAATCTATGAACCTAGATATGTTAGCTCTTCTTTTGATTCAGCCCTCTCATTTCATAGGGTGAGGTTCGGTAACTTTATACATCCACCCTTCCACAGAGGAGATTCAAAAAAGTTATATGCAAGTTTATGCAAATGTATGCACCCAGAATCCCCAGATCAACAAAACCAATCTCTTATGGATTCATACAAAGTTTATTAATTGGCAGGATCTTATGATACGCTGATCCACATAATGGCTGTCTGAGAAAGCATGAATCCACCAGTGGTACTGCCACTAAGAATTTAACCAGTAGAAAAGGGAGACATTTAAAAAAAAAGAACACACACCACATATTATTGTCAATCAAAGGATTATTACAAACTTCATAAGAAAAAGGTTACAGGCACCCCTGTGGTAACCTACAACACAAAACAATCATTTCCTCCTTGAGTAGCTATTACAGTCAGTCCAGGTTGGTAGTTTCATTTAGGTCAAATCAAGATTATGAGACTGTTCTCAGATTCCATGGAGCAACCCCAAAAATTGAATTTACGCATCCTTGGAAATTTGGTAGCCTCTGCTATGGAACATATATACTCTTTTACAATGTCACAAGGACTCAGGTAAATTTCTTGAAAATGACATGATTTTCCTTGTAGAAAAACTTGCATAAGTGTCTAAAAAATCCTCCTGTCTTCTCCTTGGATTTTATATACAGAGTTGTTCCCAAAACTTCCCCTTTCCATGGGCCCTGCTCAATATCATTCACTTTACCAGGGAATACGACTTGATCTATAGCAATTCATACAAAGCTTGACTGCATCTCCTCTCCCTGCTTGACACTCTCTGGAAATCCCCACATTTTCCATTCAACAGAAAAAGAGCTCTGAGTATCATGACCAACTTTCTTGATGTGAAAAGAAAGCAAGGAATGGGAACTCCTAAAATAACATTGGCACTCATTGTGCTACTGATTTCAGATCCACGACATTATATCCAACACCTGCACATGGTTTGATACTGATGTTCATTAACTAAATCACAAGCACAGTTCTCTTGCCCTGATTGTTCTTCCTGTTCTTCTTCTTCTTCTTCTTGGTAGCTCTGGCACTTCCTCCTAGACATGGTGCTTCATTCATCTTGGTGGACTCTTGACCTGAAATGTTTCTGGCTGAATTGGTTGGGCAGGTGTTTTCTTCTTCTGGATGAGTTTTCCTCAGCTCAACAGTGTATTTTGACTGGTGCATCAGGACTGCATTGGCTGGAAGATTGCAGTCTACTTTCCTAAGGTTCAACTCAGTCTTTGGTTGGTTTTGTTCTTGGAGAAACTTCCACTCATCTAAAGTGCTCTGTTTCACCTGTGTTTTGTGTGTCTGCTTCTCTAACTTGATATGTTCCCTGTAGGAATCTACTTGTAGATCTCTTATCTTTACACTCATGTCCTTGTCCGCAGACCCAAGAGCTCTTTCTTCCATGTCTAGTGACATGCCACTATTGTCTCTTTCCAGGTTAGGCTTCTGGACATAAAAGAGGACATAGGCATCTTGAGCTATGACAGAAGACCTGTCACAGGCAGTTACTTTGTTGTCATTCATCTGGTACCAGCATCCATCTGGAGCTTTGACATAAGAAAAGTAATGTCCGCTGTGACAAGTGTGGCCAGCATGGACCAGCACAGCATAGAGGGTGTACAAGACTGGTCCCGTGTTGTGCTCAGACATGTAGGGCTGCATGTCGAGCCACTCAGAATACTGCACATGCTTAGCAATCTTCTCCCCTGTGAAGTCCGAGAAACGTTTCAACAGGAAGATAAGGACCTTGGGGCAAGTGTGTAAAGACAACGTCTTGGAGGCAGGCACCTTTTGGAGACAAACACCACAATGGTAGGCGTTTTCCCCACTGAGTTCCTCAGGCTCTGCGCATTGCGTCAAAGCTTGCTCCACGCTCTCAGCTGCCTGGATATCCAGAGGAATGTCCAGATAAGGGTCGAAGGTGTCCGAAGTGCTTCCACAGTGGAGACACTTGATTTGAGATCTCCAGTAGCCGCCAAAGATGTGCTGAATTAAATCCCTATCTTCAGAGTGAAGATCCACCTTCTGCATGGCCTCGACCATAAACATGAGAAACTCATGTGCATCTTCCTGCTTTTCTCTGTGGAAGTCGGCAAGCAGTGCGTGCAAAGGCTGGATCACACGTCCCGGACGACGGAGAGCCCGAGTGACATGTCGTTGCATAACACACATCATGCAGGTCCTCAGACCAGAACAGGTTGGCTTGTGCTGCCGGGCCAGCATATAGTTGGCCAGAGGTGGCGTGTATGTCAGGCACTGTAGGGCTGCATTCACATAGCAAGTGTTTCCCATATTCCAGAGACCAGCTCCAACTCCAAAAGGTGTCTTCCAACTTGGGGAAACATTGTCTCTCTGATCCAGCTCTGTTGCCACAGGAGAGCACTCTACACGCTGGCCTGGATCGGTCCAGGTGGATAGAAAGGACTCTGCAGGAAAATAAGAAATCCAGTGAAAATTAACACTAGTAGAATTTGACAGAAAACATGAAACTAGAGAACAATATGCTGACAGAAACACAGGCAAAGACAAAACTAAAGAGAAAAGTACAGGCTGATCTCTGTGATGAACACAGGGAAAAAATACTCAACAAGATTCCAACAAACAGAGTTTTCCAAATCATCAAACAGATCACACATCCTGACCCAGTTGGGATTCATTGGAGGTATGCAAGGAAAGGTCAACATATGAAAATCAATACAAGTAATACAGCAAACAAAGAGACGCAAGAAGAAAAGTGACAAGATAACCTCCATAAATGTGGAAACAGCCTTTGACAAACTCCATCCTCCATTTCTGGTAAACATCCTGAAGAAAATACTCACAAAATACTTGAGTGTCCCCAGACAAATGCCATTTTGGACTATCCTACTGCCAAGTAATATTACTGCCCCCAAAGTGAGCAGCTTTTTCTCTGTAATGGAAACAAGACAGGTATGTTTTTATCCACAGTCCTAAGTCACAGAGTATTCAAAGATTACCATTGCAAGCAGGCAAGAAAAGGGAATACAAGGGATCCATGTGGAAGAAGCAGAAATCAAGTAATGATTATTTTCAGATAGTAGCATCCTTAAAATTCAGGAACCACAAACTTCGAGGTAAACACACATAGAATTAATAACCAAGTTCAGCAATATAGCAGAAGATAAACACAAATATCAATTTCATTCTTTTACAACATTGATCAACTCATCAACAGGGAAATTTGAAAAACACTCTTCACAACAGCACCAAGAGCGTGTAAATATGTAGACACAAACCTAACCATGGAAGTGAAGAGTGTTTACAATGAGACCTCCGTACTCTGCAAAAGGACATCAAGTGGAAGAGTAGAAATGCAAGATCTCCCCTGTTCTTAAAGGACCATACACCATCTACACAAAATGGCGCACTTTGAAGCAGGATAGATTTGCTAACATTACAATTAAATTAACCATAGCATTCCTCAGAGAACAGAAGAAAACTACACTAAAATTCTTCTGAAGGACAACTATACCACAAGAGGAAAGCCCTGCTGCACAAAGGTTCAAAGTTGGAGTCGTCAGGATTTCAAGATACATTACACATTAAAAATTACTAAGAAGCAGATCAGTGAGCACTTAAGCACACCTGGGGATCACAGTCAAACAAAACAGAATGGAGAAACAATGCCAGGCACGTTCAGTTGCCTGACTTTTTGGGAAATGCACAACAACCCAGCAGACCAAGATAGACTCTTTAGCACTTGGTGTTTGGAAAACCAGCCTATCACCCAGAGACCCATGTTTCTCTCCACAAACTTAATAACAATCGAGATAGAGGAAATCAGACAAGGTTAGAGCAGGACAAAGGAATCTATGAGAAAGATCAAATCAGTAAAGTGTTTCAAGATGGAGCCCTGGACATCGAGATTCTCTTGGATCTTCATTTGCACCACACTTTTACTCAAGACAACAAACAGGAATCCAGTGTAACCGCAATTCATAACACAAATGGTAGCTTTTGCGACGGAAGCAACCACAGCCCCCAGATGGAGCACAGGGACCAAACTAGAGTGAAATGAGGCACAGCACCCCGAAATGATCACGTAGCCCAAGCCTGCAATGAATGTGAAGACAACATTCAAAGGAAACGCTCTCTGAATGAAGACTCACCTCCTCCATTAGCAGACAAAGCCTCCATGGGTCCGTCAGGTAGGAAAGAGCAGAAGCTCTGTGCTCTGAAAGGTCAACCGCACGAGGAGGTTTCCCTCTCTGAGACCCTCTTGAAAGGACTAGGACGCCCTCTAGCTCAATCCCTTTTATAGCCATACCCAGCCGTTCCACCCTACTGGCTTCCTGGGCTCCACTAATCAGGTGAAAGTAGGGCGGGGCCTGAGGATTACAGGCTGAGACTGGACAGTGGAATTTCCAAAGCTGCCTGGCAACTTAGGTGGGCTCTTTTCACTACAAAGCCTTTGGAAGCATGGGCAGAAGAGCTCCCTAACCCAGCAGGCGGATTCTTCCTGAGAACATGAAGAGATGTGGCGGGAAAAGTTATGATGGTTGGTATCTTAAAAGCCACGTAAAGCCTCCTTTATTCAGTGAGTAGAGGTGGGGTTGAGGTGTGGCTGGACCTAGGCTTCCGTGCGGGTGGGATCGAAGACTGGACACTGAGTTTGAAACGTGTGTCGGTGCTAAAGTTAAGACAGTGTGCACTACCCGCCATAAGGGTGTGTGGCCTCCTTCAATGAAAGGGACAAAGAGAGCTGCCAGTGTCGCTGCTGCTTGCTTGCTTGCTTTTTCTGCCTTCTGACAGCCACAAACTGTTCCTACTCCTTGGTGATGTCACTCTTTCATGCTACCCTGCCCTCGAGACAACAAGCAGAGCATTGGAGGTTCTCCAAACTGGGAGCCAAAATAAACCTTCTCTCCTGAAACTTTGGCCGTGCACTATTTCTCCTCTGCAACAGGAAAAGTTACTAAGATCCGTGTTTCACAGATGAAGTTGACCTTAGGTGTATTTAATCCTAGCCAATATCATTAAAAACAGCACCATCCACATTGAGTTTTGCCACTCTGTCTTTATCTTCCTTTGTTACCCAGGCTCATGCTACAGAACATACTTCATTCCTTACTATTTATGGCCCAAACTCTCTCAGCAGATCCCACTTTCTTTCCTACCTTTAATAAAACCCTACCATATATTGTGCTTGTTGTTATGGTTTGAGTGAGGATGTCTCCCGAAGCACATGCAATCGTGTGAAGGTCTGGCTTTTCAGAGGTGGCTCTAGCTACTGCTTGTGATTGATTCATGGTCCAATGCTGGGATTAAGGTGTGAGTGCCAATGCTGGGATTAAGGTGTGAGTGCCAATGCTGGGATTAAGGGTGTGAGCACCACACCCACCATAGGGCAGGAAGCCTGTATACAACAGAAAGGATTGAAACCAGTTTGGTATGCTTACTCTCATTGTTTGTGCTGTCTTCCACCATCACGAACTGCTGCTTCTCTACCATGTGTCACCCCACTTTTGAGCCATCTGATTATGGACTCATACCTCTACAAACTGTGAGCTAAATTTACCTTTCATTCTTTGACTTTGGGTGTGGTGTCTTTTGTCTCAGCAACTAAAGAAAGTAGCCAAGACATGTGTCTTGACCAATTTTCTGCTGAGGACAGTATAGACCTAGGAACTATAAACACAGGAGAGAAGATAACCTCAATCACAGTAAGATGGGTGTACTCACTCAATTTCTCAAAGACTGCAGGGGACTCCTTTCCCCCTGATTCTAGTTCTAAAGCCAGTGATGCATATTAAAATAGGAAATGTTTCAGGGGAGTTCTGTAGGTGTTACTGTGTTGTGTGTTTATTCTAGTTCATTCCACACAAGTAAGGAACCACCAAGGGAAACAGGAAGTGTTCTTCAAGCATTAGCTTTTGATTACCAGCATTTTCAGGTAGACATCCCTGTGAGATGCTAAATACCTTTAGACTTTACTGAACATTGTCTTTCCAAGTATTTTTTCCAAACAAAAAGCTCTCAAGTGAAACCTAGCATTTCTACACTTTCTGAGTTGAACAAATTTCCTTGACTCTTTGTTTGACATGCGCAATTCAAAATGAAATATTCTAGATGGATAGTATTGCCCTGTGTCTAGATAGTTTCTTCACTCTTAAATGTTTCCCTGCAAGAGCAGAGGCTTTGGAGTGATTAAATTTTTGAAATAGGTACTTGCTATGTCTGGAGTTCAGCCTGATCTTCCCCTCACTGTGTGGCCCAAACTGGCCTGGTAATTGTAGCAAACTTAGTTCCTCAGGCTCCTTAGTGCAGACATTGAAAGGATGTGCCAGCTCTCACAGCAGGAAGTGCAAAGGGCTTTGGCTTCCTGTGATGGCATCTGTCTTTTCTTCAAGCTGTTGTAGGTACTGTTGTTTACTTCATGTGTTTCTTCACTTCTTAGAGCCAGGAAATCCTCCTTGTTTATTCCAGCTATGGGAAATGTTTTCCCTACACTTTCTCCTAGGAGTGTTAAACTTCCAGAGCTTACAACTGTTTTGTTAACCAACTGAGAATAGAAAATTTGACTTGCTCTTTGCAAGGTGTCTTGGTTACTTTTCTCTCATTGCTGAGACAAAATACCCAACGTCCAAAATGAAGGAAGAAAAGGTTGATTTAGCTTACAGTTTGCGGAGGTTTCCGTCGATACTTGGCTGGCTCTGAACCAGAAGATAACAAAGCAACAAGAGCAAGGGGGGAATGGCATCCGAACAGCTCTGCAGCCAGAGCAAAACAGCAGAAGAATGGCGGCAAGCAGCTTCTTTCCCTGCCTTACTTTGTAAACTGGCTACCCCCACCTAAGGGTCATGTAGCTCTCACATAATCTTTGCCCTCCTCTTCCACAGGCTCAGGATGTATACAAAGTAAGCACTCTGGCTTCCTGCTAAGTCACTTAGCCAAACCTCTATACTCCCCAAGTTGACACAATGTATCAACCATAACACAAAGAATTATGTGAAATTATCACACTACTAACTATTCATAAGAAACATTGCATTTTCACACAGGACACTGTGATTCTCTGGAACTCTCAAATTCATACGATTATTAGAACTTAAAGTCATAATATCCACATAAGTGTAACTTTCCAACTGAATACAAGGTTTTCACATATTTCAATAATAAAAACCTACAAAATAATCTGAGTGTTGTTTAATTCTTCTGATAGTTTTGGACTCACAGATTTAGGTCTGAAAACAGTGTCCTGCAGACAGACATTCGGCATGAATTTTGAGTGTCCCTTATGATGAATTCCTTCCACACAGATAATCTCCCCTCATTCTCGATTCTCACAAGGGTCTGCTGTCTATATTTGCCATAGGGGTGATAAAGTAGAGAACTGTACCTGTTAGGCCTTGTTTTGCAGAGTACCATAACACTCGCTCACACAGGCACTCTCACAGACAGTGTTTAGAAATATTGTGTGTGCTCTTCGATCCTTATCTGTGCATGTGAGTACAATCTGAGCACAGAGACAATGATCTCTTCTCTTAACTCAGTGTTCTTGTATCTTTCTCTCTAAAGCTTCTGAATTGAAGTAGGTGCAGCAGCTCAGATTTAGATCTTTGATCCATTTTGACTTTAGTTTAGTGTAAGGTGATAGGCATGGGTCTAGTTTTAGTCTTCGGCATGTGGAACGCCAGTTTTTCCAACTCATTTATGAAAGAGGTTATCTTTCTTCCAGTGAACACATTTAGTCCTTTTGTCAAAGATAAGGTAGCTGAGTGTGTTCCTCAATGTGTTGGCATCTTCTCCTCTGTTCCACTGATGCTCTGGTCTGTTTTCCTGCCAATCCCATGCTGATTTTATCACAGTAGCTTTGTAGTATAATTTCAAGTCAGGGATTGTGATGCCTCCTGCCTTGCATTTGTTGCCCAGGATTGCTTTTGCTATTCTAGGCCTCTTCTGGTTCCCGATGAGTTTTAGGAATGTTTCTCTAGATCTGTGAGAGATACAATAGTATTTTAATTGGAATTGCATTGATTCCAAACAACAGTTTTAGGAGTATGGTCATTTTAGCAATGTTGTTTTTTCCAATCCGTGAGTAAGAATATCTTTCCATTTTTGGAAATCCTCTTCAATATCTTTTTTCAGAGTTCTGTAATTTTCACTGTATAATCTTTTGCTTCTTTTGCTAGCTTGATTCCTAAGTATTTCATTTTTTTAGACGCTATTATGAAAGGTGCGGTTTCCCTAATTTCTCCCTCAGTCTGTGTGTTGTTTGTGTGCAGGAATGGTACTGATTTCTGAGTGTTGCCTTTGTATCCAACTATGCTACTGAATTTGTTTATTAAATCTATAAGCCTTTTGGTGGAGTTTTTTGGGTCTTCTATGTAAGGTATCACATCATCTGTGAATAACGATAATTTCATTTCTTCTTTTCCTATCATTATTCCTTTATTTCTCTCCCTTGCTAATTGCTTTGGCTAATATTTCCAGAACTATATTAGGAGTGGTGACAGTGGACATCCTTGTCTTGTTCCTGATTTTAAAGTGAAAACTTTCAGGTTTTGTCCATTTAGTATGATTACGGTTGTTGTTTTTTCATAGATGGCTTTTATCAGAGTGGGGTAAAGACCATCGATACCTAGTTTCTGTATGGTTTTTATCATGAATGAGTGTTGGACTTCATCAAAAGCTTTTTCTGCATCAACTGAGATGATCATGTGATTTTTGTCTTTGGCTCTGTTGATGTGTATTACATTAAATGATTTGCATATATTGAACCATTCCTGCATTTGTGCAGTGAATCCCACTTGGTCCTGGTGTGTAATCTTCTTGATGATTTGCTGCATTCTGTTTGCTATCTAGGACATATAAGCAATTTAAAAAATCAAACGTCCCAAACTCAAAGATCCAATCCAAAAATGAGTATAAGACATGGATTCACACTTGTCAGATGATGAAATATAAATTGTAAATAAATGTATAAAAAAATGTTCAACATCTTTTATCATTTGAGAAATGCAAATTAAAGCAAAACTGAGATTCCATCTCACCCCAGAAAGAATGGCTATCATCAGGAAATCAACCAATAACAAATGTTGGAGGGGCTTCCCAAAAAAATAAACACTTTTCCACTGTTTCTGGGAGAGCAGATTGGCAAAACCAGTGTGGAAATTCCTCAAAAAACTAGGATTAGG